TTACTGCCCAGTTCACCCTAGAAAGTGACAAGGAGGTCAAAGATCATCTGGTTCTTAGAGAATGATTTCAATCCCATCCCTCAACTCTGCAAATTTGTAGGACGACAACTTAAAGTGGTACGATCTATAGAACAGCAGAGCAAAGGGAAGACCTCATTTCCCCACCGCTCCTCTTGGGTGGGCTCTCCACTGGACCACTGCTGGCATATGGGGCTTCACTTTCCCCCAGCATGCCAGCCGGGCTTCAGAAAGTGTCAGAGCTCCGCATGCATTAGCAGAAACTTCAGTGGCTACTAAGCTTAACACCTCCCTGGCAGGGCTAAAATCAACACTGCAGAGCCTGGTGTCCAATTTCCTTGCTTGCCTGGGGTGAGGACAAACTCCAAGGACCAAGAGAACTGGAGTCCCAGAGGCAAGAACCCTTGCTCAACTACAGAATTACTCCTCTCTTGGAGGAGACATTTCATATGCTAGGCTCCAAGATCACACTTTCATCATGCATCCTGGTCCCTACCTCCCCTGGAAAGGAAACTCATTGTCCTGTTTGCCCTCCTACACTCACTCTGTTTACTGGGACATATAAAAAGTCACCAGGCATCCAATGGGCTTAGGGAAGAGAGACTTGCCAACAAAACCAGATGGGGCGATTTCTGCATTGAGCTGTGGTGGGTACAGGCAGCAGGCCCAGGGCCCATTATGAACTATTGCAGGTCCAATGACCTTCACGCAGCTAGAAATTAACCCCTTGGAGCGGGGTTAAAGAAGCACCTGGCAACTATGTACCTCCTGGCACCCTGAGCTGCAGAAATTCAGTATTTCCTGTGACTTATGGGATATGTGGCTGAGGTTATTTCAATCTATGTATATATGTGTTCAGTAGACCCTGCCAGCCTCAGTGTTACAAATCACATGCCTGCATTTTGGGTTGGAGGTGCCTCAGGCTGAGTATGAGGTAAGTGAAGGATTTAAGTAATGTGTGAGAGCTGGGGGTGGGTGACCATGTCCTGATGCCTTTGGATGCCTCTGATTAAGAGATTAACTTCTCTCATAAACAATCGCTCACCACCCCCACCTTCCTCCACACACCCACACACACCTTGCTTATCAGTGAAAACTTTGACACTCAAGTATTATTTCCAAGTTTGAAAACAGATCTGCTGCCAGCATAGAATTTATCTGATTCTGGTCTCTGTGGGTTGGTGAGGTCAAGATCCTCCCCACTATTTGCCAGCACAATATAAACGAGAATCTCACATAAACCAAATGCTACAGGAATAGCAGAGTGGCCCTCCTGAGTTCTGATGCTTCCTGGCACCTAATTCATGGTCACATGACACTCAGCCAAGCAAAGAGAGACTGCCTTCCAGCTACAGCCTCATACCTTGGCAAGAAATTGCTTTCGCCAAAAGTTTTATGGAGTTTGTTTAGCTCACTTCAAATATTTTACTTTAAGTAAATCATCCAAACCAAATTCAATTCTTTCTGTTGGAAGGGAAAATGGTATGTCTTGAGTTATTAAGAGGCAACTTTGCTTTTTAGACTTTGCTGGGGCCTGTTTCTAAGGGGACTCCCATGTGAGTAGAATCCCCATTGTCTCTTCAGATCAACCTTACCCATTGTTGTCCTCGTGGCCACTTCCTACCTACATAACAATCAACTTGCATTGTAATTGACACATGCAGACAAGAACTGGAAAAACACTTATTTTGTTTCCTCTTTGCTGGGAAAAAGATCTCAAACTCTACTAAGACCTTGACAATGCCAGGCAGGAAGAAATTCTGTAGGATTTTAGTGAGAGTCAAAGCATCAATGAGGTGCCAACACAGCTAGAAATAACCCATCATTCATTTAACATCTACAATCAAAATGTATCTTTCAGTATTTGAGAGATGTAATCAATTTCTCTTATATATATATGTATGCATATATATATGAATGCATTTATGTAGGTATATAGTCTTGACTCATTGCAGAATATATTAAAATACAGAATATACACATGCATATGTTGAATAATTAAAATGTAAGTGTGATCATATACAGTGAAAAGAGAAATAAACTTGTGCGTGCTGTGAAATGTGGCTTGCATTTTAGTTCCCATTTCTGAGCAATGAAAAACAATGGCAGCAATCTTTAAGCAATCAGGTTGTGTCTTCATAACTATTTTTAAGCTCAGGGAATTAAAACATAAAAACATATTCAATAAACCCAGAGGCACTGGCCTTTTGATTTTAGGCTAGCAGAAGGGCAACTTAATTCTTCTCTTCCACTGTGCTGAATCAGCAGGTACTGACAGGCAGTCATTGTTGCTAGCCCCACAGGTGTTCCTCTCTGCATTCAACGGGGCAGCTGTCCCTGCTTGGAGTATCACTGGTTGATCTCAAGGGGCATTTGACAATGTCTAGAGACACTTGTCACTTTGAGGAAAGGGTTATTGCTTAATGCTCTGTGATACACAGGACATTCCTAAAACAAAGCTGACAGGGAGACTGTCAATAAAACAAAAGTGGAAAACCCTGGAGCTTTCTAGTCTTAGAAAACACTAGCCTTAGCTTGATGTTTTGGCCTTGACTTTTCATTCTAGAAACCTGTATGCCAGAAGAGTTTTATAACTAATAAGAGGAGGAAATAATGAGCCCAAAGGCTTATTCCACATCTTAGACATAATAACAAAGGAATTTCAAAGTAGGAGGTCTTCGGGCCCTAGCTAAGGGACATCAGGAAAAGTCTACCTGGATGCCGTATGGAAAGCTGGGCATTGCTTACAAAAAATTGGAAGCTATCCCATCTCTTAACTGACTCTGAACAAATGAGCCTCGCCGAGGAGAATGTGTTTTACAGCAGTGACGGAAGAACTGCTGGAGAGCAGGCAGGGTAAACAGATGGAAAGAACACCAGGGGAAATTGAGAAATAGCCATTTGATGATATAATGCAGACTTGGGCCGAGAACCGCATGCCTGCATGCTTCCAGCTCGGACCTGCAGGTGCAGGTGCAGCCTGTGGCCTCCCTGTGCCCCTCCAGCTGGGTGGCTTTCCCTAGTTGTCTCCCTGGGTGATGGAAGAGACGGATCATCAGATGCGTCACATAGCACAGCACTTGATATGACTGATTACAAAATTCTCTTCCTTTGTCTTCTCTTTTCCTCTTTTCATTTCTTTATAAGTCACCAGACTTCTAGACATGGAGAGGCCAGATCATAATGGATAAACTAACAGAATCTAGTTTTACTAGCAAATGTGTCAGCAATCATCATTTTGGCTCTTAGAAATTAGGGCGGTGGTGGCACACGCCTGAAATCCCAGCACTCAGGAGGCAGAGGCAGGTGGATCTCTGTAAGTTCGAGTTGGACCCGGTCTACAGAGAGAATTCCAGGACAACCAGAGCTGTTACACAGAGAAACCCTGTCTTGAAAAACAAAGACAAACAAAAAAGAATTAGGGTAGTAATTCCAGATTTGGATTGTTTCTGTGCAAACTCCATGTTCTCAGGAGGCTGATCCCAAGAGAAGCAGGAGATGTAACACATCTGTGTCGTGCAAACGGAAGAGGTGAGCGGCAAATCAACAGGAGTCCCTGGGAGGCCTGTCTGTCCTCCATCTAGTCTCTCTGCTTCATTATCTGCACTACAGAGAAATGCAAACACAATGCTATCAGAGCAGCATGGAGACTGTTCACACAGAAGGGAAGGAAGCTGAAGGCGGCCTCTGAATCAGCCATACATAAAGAGTCTCTGGAAGCTAAGGGGACAATTCACACACGTGCTTTTGAATCGCCCATGTGTTAATCATAGCTGCTGCTCCTTTCTGCATTAATTTCTGAGTCTACTGTCATGCATCATCAGCTTCCTTTGAGCTAGTTTATGACTTCATTATCTTCAAAGGAAAGTTCTTTTATTAAATATATAACTCATTTTTTTGCTAATTCAATAAGCAGTTTCATCCATCGTAAAGTTTCATGGCTCTCTATCTTTAAAAATAATAATATCTATTAGACACGGGTGATATATACTTAGCATTAACATTATATATTAACATACAGCAGTTTTTCAAGTATAACTTCGTGTAGGTAGAAACTGACATATATTTATGTATATGCCATTGGAGGACATTAAATAGCTAAAAGAGGGAAAACCAGGATTCCTTGAGCAATATAAACTCCGGTTTCAGATAAATAAAAGCATCAAACCTGTTTCCAAATGAAAGCTGCTTCCAAATGCATGAATGTCCACTTCTCTCAGCCTCATAAAACAGTTTCTAATCAATTTCCTGGCTCTGCTCATACTGCCACCATGCATCAGGGATAATGTGACAATGTATTTCTAGCACCACTATTTCCATCAGAAGGTTGTCTCTAAGCCAGGTGTATTTCAGGACTAACACAGTGATTTTCTAGTAGATGTAGGTGAAAGTCCCCATATGCAGCTGATGTGAGGCCTGGCACAATGCTCTGCCCCTAAGACGAGCAGAGCAGCTGCAGATGGCTCTCAGACTTCAAGGCTTTTAGACACACCCTTCAAGAACTCAGCTAAAAGTGTCAGGGTGAAAACCCACTGCCTTCAGCATTGTGCCCAGGAGAAGGGTGACGGGGTAGAGAAGGAAGGAGGAAGTGCAGTTGTTTGATGGTATAAAGAGAGGAAGTAAATCCCTAGGTTTATGGATGTCTGGTCTTCCTGGGCATCATTATCCTAGCCCCAAGCACTGCAAATGCTATTAGCAGTTCCAAATGTGCATTAAGTTATCTGTTCTTTAAGATTCCATCTAGCCATTTGTCTTCCTGGGTTCTCCTAACAGCAGATTATGGTGGAGATTTCCATACTGGTCTCAATCCAGCTTCTGTGAAAGAATGACAGCTGATTCCAGGTGCCTGTGAGAAAGTGGACCAGTCCATCTTATACCATCTCATACCTTCAAGTCTACAGAAAATTCACACCAGGTTTTCCTACTCACCACAAAACGTCAAACAAATATGAACAACACGTTTTTCCAAAGAATGAACTTACTTTCAGTGCAAATAGGACAGCATCCTTTTCTGTTGAGAATTTTGCCCTGGTTGGGGGGGGGAGTAAAGAGAAACACCAAAGGTTAATGTTAAAAAAATAGTCTGCTGAAGAGAACTCTCCTTTTCTAAAATCTAATACCAGAAAAAACAACATTAGCCCAGACTGTACTTGAACTTCATGGCGACGATGGCAGCAAAAATGAATTTTCAAGCAAAAATGAACTTTCAAGCATCAGAGGTTCCCAGGCCAGGCAAAATCATTCCAACAAGCTTTCCTGTTTTTATCACTTAAGAAAGAGGATATCTCAAAGTATGGTGTGATTTTTCTCACATGGAAGACAGAGAAAGCCTGGACACAACTTTCTCATTGACAGCCAAACCAAGCCTTGTAAAGGTCAAGCGTATATACACACAAATGGGAACCACTGCCACTGTGCCCACACTAGCCCAGCCTTCCGCCTGCTGTGCTGGGAAAGCTCCCCTGGATCCTGTCACCCAAGCTTGCATGCTATGGACACAGTGCATGGCAGATCACACTGGTCAGTCTTCTTCCTCTTTAGCATCACTCTGCTAACTCACTGCTCTACAATCAAAGCCGGCGAAGCAGCGGAGAACTCTGTAGTATGGAGTGATTTTCCATCACTGCTCTGAAAAAGCAAAACGGCTTTTCACTTTCCCTAATGCCTGACATTTAAAGAAGGAAGCATACTCTGCAGGCCTGGGTTAGAGAAAGTGACCTTTACTTATCTCTGACTCAGAGATTAATCACAGGGAATAAGAAATGTGGAAGCAGATTAATATTCAAGGAACTACTCTTGTATGTGACCTTGGGCTGATTATGAGGATTTAATGAACTAACGCTTTAAGGCTTAATGATATTATAGTCATCGTTACTAAGAATGGCAAAATCTTTCTGAGCTGAGTCTATCTCCTTCTGTAGGTGAAGAAGTTGGTGCCCACAGGGTGATAGAAACAAAATGTAAACTTCATGCAGCACCGTAGGCTATGTTCTTTTATTAGATTTTTATGCTACAGTTCTTTGAGACGTTCATTGTCGCCTACATTCAGTACAGACTGCTGCGTGTGCCACAAGCTTCATCTCATATGAAATTCATGACAACACTGATATAGGTGATGCCACCCCTCTTTTACAGAAAACAAGGAAGTGCACTGAGGGGGAGGGGTGTTCCAAGCCCGGGACAGAAGCCCACAGCTTAGCTCTGTGCATCCACGACTGGTGAGTGGTGTGAAAAGCAGGTTTGAATATTTGCAAAATTAATAACCTCATTGGTTTTCAAATGGCATTTTGCTACTGAAGACCTAAAGCAATGTGTCACTCATTTCTTCATCAACCAAGCCTATAATGACACAATAAACTCTATAACGTCATAGGGCAGTGGTTCTCAACCTTCCTAATGCTGCAACCTTTAATACAATTTCTCATGACACGCTAACCCTCAGCCATGAGATTATTTTTATTGCTACTTCATAACTAATATCCTACTGTTATGAATTATAAGTATCTAATATGCAACCCCTGTGGCAGGGTCATTCAACCCCCAAAGGGGTCACAACCCTCAGGTTGAGAACCACTGCCATAGATCTCATTTAATTTCTCAAGGACAAAGTCAAAGAAGATCAGCCCCTGTCCCGTGGAACGATTTCCCCAGAGGCTGGTCCGAGGCACTCTGCCCCACTAGTTCGAAGCCAGGTTTCTATCCAAGTGCAACTGGGTGATTCCATACATGTGTATCTCAGCAGACACTGCCATTTTCCATGTTCAGAAAATGAAAGTGAAGTAAATTAGTGGGGATGAATAAAGCACAAACTGTGAAGTCAGACAGCCTGGGTTGTATGTAATGAGCCGGAAACTGGACACACTGTAGCCTCATCTGGAAGAAGGATCTATTCAGTCCCTACTGCAGCAGAGAAGTCTTAGGGGGAGGGAGGATATTTCTATGACCACAGAAAAGACCTCAGTATACATGGATGATATTGAGGAGACAGTGGTCTATCTCACTGGAACTGCCAGAGCCTTGGGAATTACCTAGGAGGGAATACAGCAAATACAACCACAACCCCCTCCTGGGAAGGAAAAGAAAAAGAAAAAGAAAAGATATGGTAACTGGAAAGGGTGTAACAGCAGACACAGACTCTTGTTTTCTAATTTTAGTTTGTTTGTTTGTTTTTTTACTTTCCCCGATCAATGAAGGGAAGGTGAACTAAATTGTTGTCTTTTCTTTTTAAAGGATTTCATAGCAGTGCTAAACTATCCTCCAAAGACCTTGTGCTGGCTCTGAGAAGGGGAAGGGGAGCACAGGTTGGAGGGATGCCTAGAAACAAAGATGGTCGTGGGGAACACAGTAAAGCCAGGGTCCTGGCAAGCATCTGCAGAGGGGACAGGATAGGCACAGGCCTTTCAGGGAGGGATGGACATTCCTGGCCTGAGTGGGGCACACACAGAGAGATCACAAGGGAGATGCAGGCAACAGAGCTGTGACCTCCCAGCAGAAACCACGGACCCAGCTACAAGTGGCAGAGCTGGAGCAAAACTGGAAACTGCACAGTGGCCTGCTCAGGCAGTTACACGAGCCACCAGCTTGGCACTGCTCCCCGGTTTTGTCTTGTAGAATAAGGAAGCCCATTATTACTAACATGTGCTGGGAGAGTTCATTAGCAGCGAGGGTTCCCCGAGGACTGGCAGAAATGATGTGATTCCATTTTTCCCAATGAATATTTATAAGCAGCCCATGTTCAAGTCTGCTTATTGTACCTACTTTTTTTTTCTTTTATGGGAAGTTTTCAGTTTTATGTCTGAGGCTTTTTAAAGCAAGACTAATTAGGGGTTTTTTTTTACCCTTGCCCCCCCCATTCAGTTGTGCAACGGCAACAGCTGTTGTTTTTTTGTGCCTCATTTGGCACTCAAGGAAAAACAGCAACTTTTTGTTTATAATAATAACAGATGTGAATAAAATTAAAAGCTTTCTATAACAGCGAATAGAGGACATGTTCTGAATATATGGATATGTTTCCTTCATTCACTAGAAGGTACTGAATAGGTTTGACATTTTCCCAAAACGTACAAAGCCTTGAAAGGTTTAACGTTGCTGAGGTGGATTCAATGGAACCCAGGCTTCAGAAGATAATGGTGGCTTTATTCGGGGCCCTGGGCTGTGGGCTTTTGAAAAGAGGTATTTCCAGAAGGACGCTATTTCCATGTGGGGCTCCAGTGGAGTCCAGGGCTAGAGAGGAATTTTCTGCAGCGGAGTTGGGGCTTCTGCAAAGCAAGGAAATCCTCCTGGGGAATTTACTATTAAACAACCACATATTACCGTGGCTAGGCGAAGAAAGCTGAGATTTGAGAGAGAAAAAAGACAAAAAGAAAGAAGGGGGAGTAAATGTAGTTACGACGTTAAATAGAAAACCCAACAACAGAAAACAAGGTCCAGGCAGAGAGAGCGAAGTGTTTACAAATACACACAGGAAGTCAATCAAAAGTAGGAAGACTTCAGGAAGAACTGGAAAAGAGTTTTCTGACACCAGGCTTGACTCCAGGTGGGGATGGTAAGAAGGAACCAGTAAGCTGCACAGAGGCTTCAGCCACCGGAGTATATGTAAGCTTTTGCACTGTCTGGTTATCTTTTCAGAAAATGCCACGGGCTGTGCATTTCTGAAGGTAATGGGAAAGTAAAGCTGAATTCCCAACATACCTGTGGGCAGCTGCTGATGGGAATGCATTGCTTCCTGCGACACTCTGTCTTCCCCTTCACACAAGCACAGATGCTACAGTTGACTGAGGACCACATCTCTCCATCCTGAGGGACACAACACAGGATTCTGCTATCAGGGGGCTGCCGGAGCTGAGTCAGTGGGCTGTGATTCCCAGACTGAGAAGAGCAGGACTACCCTGCCTGAGTCACACAAGCTTAGCCCAAGTGACTCCGGGGCACCTATGTGTAACCAACTTAACATAGTAGTTAGGGAGGATTCCAAGCACTGCGTGTTTTGCTCCAAAATACGGAGGATGCCTCTATCTAACCAAGTCCTGTTTGCATCTCTCCTCTCATGTGCTTTGTTTTGTTTTACTTTCACCCTGGAAGACAAGGAAGTATGGATTTTCATACACGCAATGCATGAACAAAATCTTAACTGTCCTCTGTTTAATGAGATTGAAACATTTGCTGTCTCAGGCATAATAATTAATTGAGATGTTGAGGTATGTTGATATAAGCCAAGCTGTGCCATGCCCCTAACCCCCCCCCTCCAGGTCTTGAAGAGAACAGCAATTGTTCACACAATTCTCAGTGGCCAGGCAGGTACCTGGTCAGTAGCCATTTGAATGCACAGAGCCCAGACAGACCACTCCTAGAGACATGCACTGCCTGGCTAGCACTCTCCTCCAAAAGCGTAGGATAGCATTTGGGGACGCATTTCTGAGATTAGACTATTAGCTAGAAAGCTACTTGGTATATGTATTGGGCTCATTGGATTTATAGTGTGCAGTTGTCCGGGTCTGAGCCAGAACACATCAGGCAGGGACATACTGTACGTGAAGTTGGAAAGATCAGATAACAGGCAGATCTAAAGGCAAAATAAGGATTCTTTCCCAGGCCTGTGGATTCAAGATCTTCGGTGCATCCTCTCACTTTTCAAGTTTTGAAGCTATTTTAAGGACTGCCCACCCTCTGCTTCCTTTCAAGAGAGAGACAGAACTAACCGGATCTGTCTTTACAGGGCATTGAACTTACCAATGTGCTATGAGCAAATATTCCCAGGGCCCACAATCTCTGTAAAGTACTTTAAGCCTTTTTATAAAGTGATTTGAAGGTGTTTTGCCCAAAGCACTATCACGAGAGGAACATATTTTTTCTTGGTGCTCTAGGGAGAAGTGATGGCTTTGAACAAAGGATTTTGCATGAGTGTCTCTGAGAACTTACTACATGACCCCCTCCTATTGGCTTAATTCACTGTCTTCTGTTTTGCAGGCTCCCTAAGAATCCAGACCCCTCTTCGATCATGTCAGTGGATAGGAAGCCTGAGCAGGCCTCCGCATCTGACGTGCTGGTAAGGGTCTAGATGCTCATGACTGTCATCAAGCGTGTCTTTGATACAGAGTCTGTCTGTCTGTCTGTCTGTCTCTCTCTCTATCTCTATCTCTTTCTATCTCATTCATGCTTAAGGAAAACATTCTGGATAAGAGAGAGGAGACAGCATGAACAAAGCCAACACTTGCTTCCTGAAGTTAAGTAATTACTATCCCACTTAAGATCACCAGAAAAAAAAAGGTAGAGCACACTCCAGGTAGAGTTGAATGGCCAGTAAGCAAGTGTTTGAGTACTGTGGAGTTGGACTCTCAAATTTAAGCTTGGCTACTTACATAGTAAGCATCCTCATCTGAACACCTTGAAGCGAGCCATTTGTTTAAAGAAATCTGTAGAATGCTGCTGAAACCATCTAATTAATCATAGATCCTTCAGGATCTGGCCATGGTCATGATCTGGACAAGGTTCACTGTGCATCCCCAAGTAAATGGCATGCTGTCAGGCATTTGGTCACCATAAACACACCAGCCACCCATGTGGCATGCTCAGCTGAACTTCAGGCATTGGCTGATCACATATAGAAAGAGCAATAACACTGACACATTTGGAATCTTCCATGTCCTTGATTTTAGAGCGTGCACATACACACACATACACACACACACACACGTAAATTAATATATCAAATATACATGTCTGTTTTTAAATGTATAGATTACATAAAACTCTAATCTGTGTTATGTCTGGAACTAATGACTCCCACAGCTCCCCACACTTGTTACAGTTTATTGCATACATACCCTGAAAATCTTGCTACCAAACTTGCATACTTTGACATCATCTGGGGGCACTCGTAGGAGACACTCTTCACAACAGGCACCTCCATCATTGTCACAGATACCAGGCTGGGAGCATTTCTTCTTACACACGATTGTAGAGTCCTGGAGGCCCAAAGGCAGACTAGAAATTGGAAATGACTTTCACCCCACCTAGGCATCCTTCTCAGCCCTCCTTTAACAACCCACAAAGGCTCTCTCTGTTGTACTCTCCCAGCACCGTGCTTTAGTATGGTGCAATAAACACTTCATCCACTTCAAAACTGGTCTCCTGACTAACATCTGTAGCAGATGAGGGCATAGAACATTCCCAGTCTTACTTCTACTGGCCTACAACTTCATGCTTAATGTACATCCTCAATGAGACAAGAACTCCCAGATCGGCCAGCACATCTCCTTTTTCCTGCCCTTCTTTCTTTCACTCTCTACATAAACAGAGGTTCCTGCACCTTCCCTAGAAATTAGGAAGAACAAAGGATGAGGCTGTTGGAGGGGGAAACCCCACAGACAGAAAGGGATATTGGTCATCACAATAAATGCCACCTTTTGTGGCTTGAATGGGAGCACCCTCCCTCCTACAAGGCTCATATATTTTCATACTTAGTCCTAGGTTGATGAACCATTTAAGAAAAATAATAAAGGTTAGGGGGCATGTCCTTACTGGAGGAAGTATTCGCTGGCAGGGTGGGCTTTGAGGTTTAAAACTCCCTGCCAGGCCCAGTCTCCCCCACCCCTGTCACCCGGAGATCAGTTTGTAAAACTTTCAGCTACTTCTCCAACACCATGCTTCCACAATAATGTTAGTGGACTTATCCTCTGAAACTGTAAGTAAGTCTGCAATTAAATGCTTTTATAAGAGTTGCCTGAGTCTTCTCCAACGCCATGCTTCCACAATGATGTTAGTGGACTTATCCTCTGAAACTGTAAGTAAGTCTGCAATTAAATGCTTTTATGAGTTGCTTTAGTCCATGGTGTCTCTTCACAGCAATAGAACAGTAATTAAGTCATGGCTGACCCAAAGATGTCCACAAACTCATATTGTGATAAGACCATCACTTTCAGGACAAGTATTCATTCTAGTATTCTAACTAGAATACTGGGACACGTTGCCTGATTATGCCTCAAAGATGTCTTAAGATGCAGAGTGATGTAAATGCTAACATAACTAGCTCCCATTTGTGGGCTGATAGGCTGTCCCTCAATCAAGAGAACTGGGAAGGTGACATGTTTCAGGAAAGCCTCAGTTTCAGTTAACAGGAGAAAGTTGTGGCCTATGAGATTTCAGTATAGATGTGAAGCTGTGGGCATGGAGACTAAACTCACAAGGAGGTGCTCTGAGTGTTTACATAAAGCAGTGTATATAAAGGGAGTTGTACGTTTAGCACAGGATCGTGCAAACCATCACTTCATGAGAATATTCATGGGCTTTGACATGGATCAGATTCACCTCTGTAGTGAAATATAAAGACATGCCTTTTTCTTCTCTTGAATACAATTGAAGTTATTTTCATTGTTAGAATTCATTTCAGATAGGTGGAGCCCTACAACAGACACATTTGTATTTGTCTAACTATAAATAATGCTTAGGACAGCCTCCAGATCTTCTCTGTGACCTTGCATAGGATTATGTTCTTCAAATAGCATCAGCAGTGATTCCTCCCGATGAAAAAATGCTACCACATTTGCCTACAATTCTACTGTAATCCAAGCCCACTGGGTAGCACCACAGCCCCTAGAGCCCCCTTACCTTGCAAGTGCACACTGTGCAGTTATCATAGACAAATGAAGACCCGTTGTCATAAACATCACTGCGAAACAGGCAGCTCCCGAAAGGAAGGTCAAATACTTTCCGCTGACCTATAGGGAAGCAAGAATAAGTACAATGTAAGCAAGACAGAGACAAGGCATATTCCAATTTCTATCTTATCACTGATAATTAAATCACAGGGCAGTGGAAGATTCCCACAAGACCAGTAAATGTGACATACAAAAATACCTCCAGGTACACCAGGAGGCCCCCAAGAATTATGAATTTGAAGAGTAATTGTATAAAAGTTTGATTCCACAATGAACTTCACAGATTCAACAAGCTATCTGTTTACCATAGTGGACACATGCTGCCTTGTGGAGCTTACATGGAGTTAAGATTATTTCAGAACAACATGGTGAACTCTAGACATTAGGTCTGCTGTGCCATAGACAACAAGTGACATCATCTCCCATGGTAGCATTAGTGAGAGGGAAGATGTAGGTGGAAGGAATCAAGGTATCCTCAGGATTATCATGAAGTTGCAACTGTTACAGTCTACATGATTTGTGTTCCCACAAAACTCATACACTGAAACGTAGCACCAAGCAATCTTACTAAGAGGTGAGAGATAGATTTGAGAAGTGATTAGCTTGTTGGGGATGCAGGAGCTCTCACTAAAATGTCTTTTTGTAACAGACCCAAGAGACACTGCTTTTTCCTCCCACCATGTGAAGAACAACAAGACAAGCATCTATGAGCTACGAAGAAAAAGCTCACAGAATCTGTAGGAACCTTGACATTGGGCTTTCCATGTTCCAGAAGGGCATTTCTGTTGTTTGAAAGTGACCCAGTCAATGATATTTTTTATAATACCCTAAATAGGTTAACACATAAGACCAGTAAAGAAATTACACAAGGTCATATACAGGGAAGTTAATTCAAGGAAAACTCAGGACAACTTCAATTCTATATGTTATATCCAACTTTTGTGAGGGCAGGACTGGTGAGCAAGAAGACAACACACTGTCCCAAAAAAGAATATGATCTGATTTATTCCTTCCAGCACTTGAGTTTCTATTCCTAAGACAACATGGACCCATCTCTGAAATGGTTGAAGTTTGTTTAATTAAAGACTATTAAGAAACTGATAATTCATGGTCACTGAACAAATTTATAGGCACATTACTCTTTCTTTTTTAAGGAAGATTAATATTCATTATTAGTAGGACTCATGGAATCTTTATCAATATGCCAAGTACATCTATACATATGCTAAATGTTATTCTCACAATTATAGTTGTTGGAAATACCACTAAAAGAAGTTAAAAAAATAGTGTCTTCCTATGAGAGGTCAAGGGTACAGCACAGACCCAACACTAAATCAAGTGGGTCTCATCATGAGGAGGAAACTTTCCAGACATCAGAAGATAACAGTGAGCTATGCTTTGGATCCCAACTATAGACTCTATCATGACTTTGACTACGATCACTCTAGGCTCATTGACTTCACTCAAAGCGGTATCAATAATGCCATTGCCTCATATAACCACCTCTATCTACAATGATAATGTAAAGTATACAACCAAAAACCATCCCATGATTAGACAAAATTTAGCTTAATCATTACACTTTCTGGGCTTGTATATGTGTGTATAGTGGGTATGCGTGTTGTGGGTATGTGTATCTGTGTGTGTGTGTGTGTGTGTGTGCGTGCGCGCGTGCGCGCGCGCATGTGTATGTACGTGGGCATGCATGTGAAACATCAGGTGCCTTTCTTAATTTCTCTCTATTTTACATTTTAAGGCATGTTCTTTTTCTTGTATCCAGAACCCACTAATTTGACTAGTGTAGATAGTTACTTCCAAGGGTCCCCTGCCTCTACTCCCACAAAATGGGATTACAAAGTAGCCACAATATCAATGTGTTTACCATCTGAGTTCTGAGGACCTAAACTATGATCCCCAAATTTGCTCAACACTGTTGCCCACTAGGATATTTCCCTCGCTCATAACCATTATTAACATGCCAATCAACACAGGTAATTCCTATGTGCCCAGCCGCATCTTGAGACTCTTTAACTTCCAAAGAAATATAAAATGCATCCCCTTCCGAAGCACTCCTCAAAGGATCCCGCTGATGTCATTCTGGAGCATCAGAAAACCATTAGCTGAATTACATGGATTGACCCATCCCATTATAATCACTTCTGCTGAAACATATCTTAGATTTAGAACATTATAGTACAGGAAACACCTGTAGCCAGTTTAAAAAGTATTTACTACAACAATGATGTTGGTAAGTTTTCACAAATTGAACATTATTCTCTTTATCAATCTATCAGAGATATGCTTCTGTCCTTGAAGAAATAAAATTAAACTACACTTCTGTAAATTATTTTATAAAATTATGCCCTGGATGTCCTTTTCTATACTTTATCTACTAATTTTACAATTGACCATAAATGGTTTGTGGTAAAAGGCACGCAATTACTAACATTCAATAGATAGACAGACAGACAGATGATACCCCATAGATTTTGGTATAATGAATTTGTGTTTCTATTCAATTCTAGGAAAATTTAATTTTCCTTTTTGATTTTTTTTCTTCTTGCAATTTTGGTTATTTAGCTTTCATAAGTTTGTATACTCCGTTGTTTCTACTGTTGTTTATATCCAGCAAGTCACATCACTTGTGGGAAGGGGCAGCCCAAAGAAAGGGAAAACAACTTTTCCAACTGTGCATCTGACAAAGGGCTACTATCTACAATATACAAGTAACTCAAAAACTTTAATTTCAAGAAACCAAACAACTCACTTACAAAATGGGGCATGGAACTACACAGAGAGTTCTCAAATGATGATATACAAATGGTTAAGAAATATTTTTAAGTGTTCAACATCTTTAGATATTAGAGAAATGCAAATTAACAACCATTTTTTATACTTTCCCCTATACCAGTCAGAATGGCTAAGATCAAACAAACAAATAGTTGCAAGTACTGCCCTGGATCTAAGGAAAGTGAGCATGTAGCAGTCACTGCTAGTGGAAGTGCAAACTGGTGGAGCTACCATGGAAACAAGTGTTGAGGTTCCTCAAATAATGACAATAGGTCTATCCCATGATCAGCTATACCACTCTGGAGAATATCCACAAAGGACTCCATATCCTAATATAGAGCTTCCTGTTCACCCACATTCATTGCTGCTCTATTAATGATAGCCCTTGAATGGAGACAGATGTCCATCAGCTAATAAATGGATAAGGAAAATGTGGCATATTTACACAATGTAATATTATTCCGATGTTAAAATTTTGCTAGTGAATAGATGATGATGGAAACTATCATTCTCAGTGAGATATCCCAGACCCAGAAAGAGAAAGACCTTTTATCTTCTCTCATATATGGATGTTAGTTTTGAGTCTTCAGGTACTTACATTTCATTTAGAATGACCACAGAGTTTGGAAAATTACAAAGGAGCCATGTGGAGGGGCTTTCTAAGGGATAGAGACAGAACACATTGGTATAAAAAGTATTAACAAGGAATAATGGAAAGGAAAGTGTTAAATTGGAATGGCAGAGGGGAGGGCAGCTAATATGGGGAGTAATAAATAGCACTAAAGTCTCTTTAAAAATCCAGATGAAAGTCTACTTCTGGACACATACATATGAGAGAAAGTTAGAACGGATTTACCCTATAACCGGACAATACGCCTATTAGAGACCAGAGACTAACAAAAGAGACTAGTGTCAGAATAGGTTACTCGTTGTGGGGTTGTTGACTAGTGAGGTCTCAGATACCTACACCACCCCACAAGTAATATAGATTACTGCCAGTGTTCTTGGTTGCCCTCTAGAACTTGAGAACTTTGTAATATGAAACAATTAAGCTAGTACCAACTTGGAAGCTTCCTTCCTACTTGCTAGCTTTTATGGTACTGGATACTATCAGAGGAGAAAACTACTCATCATTCTTACCCACATGTAAATCTACATTAAAGCATGGCCTGGCAAGACATTCCCACTGGAGCAATACTTTCATGAATGTCATTCAAGTAACTAACTGATTTCTGATTCAATGCTAGTCACACTCCACAAGATGAAACCCATATGTGGCACCATTATCAGGTCAAAACCCTATAGGTAGTTAGGCATGTCATAGACCCTGGGAGAGAATCTGCTATTATTAGCAGACGTAGTACTAAGTAGACTTCTAATGACTAATAATTATGTGCATAGATTAATGCATCTGTCACCTCTCATCAGAGAAGCTTCTATCTGCAGTAGATAGTGACTAACAGAGACCCACCCTCAACAGGCCAAGGCTCAGAAAATAGGAGACTGTGGAATGCTCAGCTCCAAATGAAGCATAAATATTGTACCTCCTTCCAAGGCTAAGGGCTTAAAGAAGAAGGGGAGGCAGAAAAAGTGAAGGAACCAGAGGTTGTAGATGATTGTAGAGAAACAGTATCTTTTGTCATAGTAGGAAACTGTCCATATAAGTTTATTGCAGTTGTGACAAAATACACAAGACTTGTGCAAGTCCAAGCTAGACCAAAATCCAGCATAGAGAGTGAATTTGGGTGTGAATTCTCACCCCAAGATGAGGAGCTATTAGGAATTGTTAGCTGCTGGAAACAGAGTAGATTTTCTCTAAGAGTGTAACCCCTGGTAAAACCACACACCCAAGAATATTTGCACAGTATAGATGCATCTTGGGTATTTTTTTAAAGGACATAAAGTTGATTGGATGGGGAAGGTGGGAGTTGATTTTGGAAGAATTGCAGAGGGTGGGGGAATATGCCCAAAACACACTGCACAAAATTCTCAAATAACTAATAAAATAAATAAAAATATTTACAGAGATCGATGTAGAGCCAGGTTTGGTGATACATGTTTAGTTATACTACTTGGGAGACAGAGGGAGGACGAACACAAGTTCAGTGCCATCCTGGGCTATATGGCAAGAATCTGTCTCAAACATAAAAAAAAATCATAATGTCTCTGTGGAATCTTGCTCATAAACCAATTATAATACGTCTTCTTCCTGGCTGGAGCACACATTTCCTCCCCAGAGGTTCTTCCTCTTAAACTACATGGCCCTTTTCAATAATTTCACTGCAACTTGCTTATACTATTATTATTCTACTCAATACTACTGTATAAATGGATATTTTATAAATGGTGAGTAGATGGATAGATGATGGATGGATCTATGAATTGACTGATCTATTGATTGATTCCTGAACACTAAGATAGTTATTTCCTGAGTTAGATGTGGCCACTGGCTTAAATTACCCTTCACAAAAATGTAAATTGTACCTAGAACTATGGCTATAAATCTTTGAAAAGTGCCTTGCTGTTATCTGAACTCCAAGAACATGGCAGATGATAACGATTAGCATTGTTAATGGTGATGTAATGTCAGTATTATCCTGGGCTATGCCATCTGGAGAGGTGTCTTGGGTACTCTTCTATGTATCCTGATCTTTGATGAGATGCTTCACTGAAAATGAGCAAAGGGGGAAAGAAATTCTGCAATCCAAATGGCAGAGATGTTCCATGTGCAGACATCCAGGTAAAGAGGAAAAACTAAGAGCAAATCAGTATCCATTCCGCTAGAAGTTGAAGGCAAGCAGATAGTTTCAGGCGGTTTGCCTTTAGCTGTATTTTTGCTTCTGTTGTTGTGTTGATATGTTTCTTTCCACCACTAAAGAACACAAGATCTCACTTTATTCCCAAGTCATTATGGCCAACACAAAACATTCTAGGTAGTGGTTCAGAGGCTGGGAGGACAGCTTGATTAAGCCATTTCCACACCATTCCACTGTGGTTTAGCCCAAAGAAGAAAGAGGTCTCATTTGGTGAAACTGTGATCTTTAAGTTTCCCAAAACTTACTGTTCTTTATGTAGACAGACTTAAAAACCCATAAAACGTAAAATGTGCACTAACTATAATCACCATGGTTCATGTGAGAATCCTCTAAATGGATCAGCACACCAAACAGCCTTGGCTTCCAAGCTTCAGTCAGCATTATTTATTTGCAAGACCTTAACCAATCACCACTTCCTCTTTGACAAACTCCCATTTACAGGGCACAGGCTCCACCATGCCCTCAGCTTGGCAACATCTACTCCACTGGTTTCTATTCCGGGCAGCACAGGTGGATGGGCAATGAATGAAGCACAGATACATGAAACTGTCTTTAGCCCAGTGCATCTAACAGTCCTCTCTTGTCGTCCTAATTACTCCACATTTGCTTGAAAGTAGGGGTTTGTGCATGCAACAGAATGGCAAACACCGTCACATGAAATGGCAGGAATCCCTCAAGAAGAGAAAGCAGTTTAACACAAATGCCTTATTTGGCAGTTTGGTTATAAAAAGAAGCTAAACTGAAGGTGTGATAATCTGTGAGGGGGGGATGTAAGTCAACAGACTGGCTTGGGGTTAGAGAAAGCAAACCATGAAAGAAAGGGGGAGGACTCCAAAAGGGGTATGCATGGAACTGCCAGGAGCTGAAGCAAAATCAGAGACACTCAGTGAACACCTCCCAAAAAACAATTAAGGCCTTCCATGAACTAGGAAGCTTAGCATCTTGTCTTAGGATCCTCATTCCACATCTCTGTAAATCTATCCCCTTGTTGTTCACAAACTTTCAGTGATTGTGCTACACAGCCTTGGTTCAGTTGTACCATAGGATGAAAATGATACCAAAAGCAAAAGCAAAATAATACAGAGATCCAGAGAAACAATCAGCAAAAAACAAACCAGAGGTGACCAAGGACGCCACCAGCCTTCCCTGTTGATCTCTGCAGATCAGTGGAATGCCTTCTCCTCAGAGGGCTAAAACTGCTAACAGTGCCAGTGGGGCATGCAGGAGTCCTGTTCTGTATTTCACCGTCTCCCAAGACTCATTAAGAAAAATCATGTAACCTGTGTGTAGTGCCTGGTCTGTAGTAAAGGCTCGATGGGATAACAGATACTCCCTTCTGGTCAACGGTTAACTGGTCTTCTATGCAAGCTTCTCACTTCTGGGCATCCTACCCTCCTGTGTGCTTTCGGCTCTTGGGTGACGCTAGTCTACAGTCTTCCACACATTTGCTTCCAAAGGCCTTTGCTACACACTAGTAACAGTCACATGTCCAGCTAGAGCCTCTTTCTTCATTCTTGCCTCGCTGAACATTATCCAGGCGGGAACTGCGCGCCAGGCTCCAGAACCAAAGGAAGTCAAGAGAAGAGCAGCCTCTGAGCAGCTCTCGGGTAAGAGCCAAAGCCTACTCACACAGTTAGAAGGAGCAGTTGTCTCCACCAGGCCATGAAGCAACGTACATATACACTCCGTAGAAACCTCGAGAAGAAATTACATTGTTCTTTGACCTGTAAATTGTCACTCACCCAAACACTTGGGGCAGCACTGTCCTGGGGGTGTGTGACTAAGGTGCTGGGGACAAGAGAGAATGGGACAGACTTCTCTCACACACTGTGTCCTGCCTCCCTAAGAAAAGAGAGAAAAAAAGCATATTTAGAAAAGTCAGTACACACAGTTGATACAACCAAGATGTCCAGAGCAAACACAAGGCCTTCCTTTAGTATTTGGTCTCTGCACCAACTGATCAGCTCACTCTGAGCATTAGATTGGATTCCCAGCAAGCATTTCTTCCATCCTCCCTGTTGGCCCTACACATTCCAGCTACAAAAAGATCACCTTCCGTTATATGGTTGCACACAGCATCCCTTCCAATCCCCACGATCTTTCCTTATCATTTACTTTCTCAAGCCTAGCTTTAGAGTAGGCTTAGGGTAACCAATCATCTCGGTTTTCCTAGGATATGAGATCAGTTTAAAATGAAGAAAGTTAAAACAAAGAACAACAAAAACACACCAGTTATCCAAGTGAATCCAGGATGAGGGAACTATTGTAATGATCATTGCCTCTTGTCACCCATCCTCTAACCAAGCAAAGGGGTCCCATTTGCTGAGACTTTTTTGATCTCTTTGATTCACATCTTTCTGCATATATCTTCCTGCAGTTAAGGCTTCACGCTCAGTCTCAGTCAGCGTCCAGCTGTTGGAGGATGCCCCAATAATGGTCCAACCAGAGGAGGCAACCCACCTGCCTGCTCTGGAAGGTGGATATTCTGGAAGTCAATGTGCAAGAGGACCATTTCACTGGTTATAACGTTGTAAATGGATGATACTGGGAGAACCTATGAAGCCCAAAAGCAGATGTCTTATAATTTTGGAGACTTTTTGTATTCCCTCCTTCTAACCTCAAGAAACCCTTATCCCTGCTACTCCTCATCTTCTTGAGCCAGCAGCTGTCCCCCATTTCTCTGCCTATTGGTCTCTCTGTTCCCTTTGAAAGGCAGAGATGTGGACATCTCCCAACACTCTGGACAACGGAGTCACTGTGAATTGTAACTGTATATTCAGAAAGTTGCAAAAAGGAAAACTAAAAGTGCTTCCGAGTTAGTTCACATCTAACAAACCTACAAGGCTGGCAAAAAGACTGTCCCAATGCGGCCAGGTGTTGGTGGCACATGCCTTTAATCCCAGCACTTGGGAGGCAGAGGCAGGAGGATCTCTGTGAGTTCCAGGACAGGCTCCAAAACAATACAGAGAAACCCTGTCTCGAAAAACCAAACAACAACAACAAAAAATAAAAAACAACCAAAAAAAATGTCCCAATGCAATACTTTATGAATGAAGTCTCATTTTTCAGAAGTAGGTGAATTCAGTAAATAGATCACAGGGAAACGGGGATATGGAGCTGGTGCCAATTCCTTGTTCACCCTCCACAGACTGATTGAACTGGGAGTTGAAAGAATAAAGAAAAGATAGGTGAACACAGTGACACAGAAAAGCTGGAGTCATGAGGTCTAAACTATCCACTGGCAAAACTGCAACACCCTAGAAGCACCTCGTGTTTATTATGTATAACTGAACATGTAAGCAGGGTTATTGCATATAGCTTGACATGGAGATGGGTTATCATACACAGGTAAACAAGGAGGAAGTGTTTGTGTAGCTGGATCAAGGACACAAGTTTTGCCAGTCTCAGTAGGAGCAGCCTCCATAGGGGCGCAGTCTTCAGGCCATAAATATTCTGGAACAGAAAGTTGTAATGGATATTTTCTGCACACGCTATCGGAATCCACACACAAGTCAGAAGGTAAGGCTTCGCCATTTCCTTATGAGCCTCAATCCTACCTCCACGCTCTGCAAGATGTACTGAGGTAGCACTTAGCCATTCCTCAGTGGGGCTGAGGCTCTGGAGTCCTTGGCACGGTCACGCCCTGAACATTTCCTCAGGACTTCTTCTGCTTCCTAAGACTAGGTTCTCTGAGATTGGAGCTGGAGAGCTAACTAATGGGCTTACAGCTCCCTATTACCTCAGATGGAGAGTTCATAGACCAAGAAACCTTGGTCAGTGAGAAACACAGGCCCAAAGAGTCGTGGACATCAGAAGGAAAGCCCAAGCTGCAGTCATTTCCTCTCGCCCTTTCCAGTTCTGTCTATAAGAGCAGCAGACATTACTAGCCTTGGCTGTGGGGATCCTACTGGCAGTCACCTCTCCCTAGCCTAGCTGGCCCTGTCCTTTGTTTCTGTATTCCCTAATTGTTCTAGTCACTTTTATTATTATAGTTTATTTTTTTGGTGGGGAAGAATTAAGAAAAAAGAGAGGCCATGTTAAGTCTTCATAAAGGTTTGTTATTTTTTTAAACCTCTTAAATGTTGGATTGTTCCCTAAACCAATACAAAACATGCAAAAATACCACAAAATACTCTCTTGTTTTTATATTGTTTCCAGATCAAGATCATTAAAAGTCTCCCAAGAATCGTGGGTTGTTCTGAATTCTCACTCAACTCTGCATAAACCTGAAGTTAGAGGTCTGTCATCAGACTTTAGAGCTGGGTAACGGGAGTCTGGGCAAGCTGCTGACATGGTCCCAGCTTATGCATAAGACCCAGAGGTTATATCCAGGGGGAGGACAGGACGATGCTGACCCTTGCTTTTGATTTCTAAGGAATTCATCTGTGAGCAATTTCTTAAACTCTAAGTTGCTGGCTGTACAAGGCTGTCTGTGTGCTGGCCTCTCTTAGGTGCACGACAACACAGGCTTTTCATTGATATCCTCTGTTCTTGTTGGATCAGCATCTATTTTTAAAGTATATTTTAAAATTAAAAAGTTTTAAAATATTGCATAATTGCTAAAAGCTATCGTGTCCAACACTTTGCAATGCTGGCAGGAGATTATGTGTGCACTGGTAACTTTCCTTTCTGTAAGGTCAAAGAGTAAATTTTGCATAGTTAATACAACTGCACTTTGTGTTTCCCTAGAGTCTGTTAAAGTAACTTGAACTTCAGTCTGGGTTTGCTGCCTTAGTCAAGTTTTATTTTGTTTGGGTTGCAGTCTTACAGCACAGCCCAAGTCCCCAGGCTGATTCCAGTTAATTCCTCCAATGAAAGCGCTGGCCCTTCCTAGGAACACTGTTGCAGCTCACAACCTGCTTCTACGGTTTCGGCTCAGAGGAGATTCTGGGTGAACTACAACCTATGGCTAAGCTATACACTAACTGAGTTAAAATATCAGAAGCAAACATTTCTAAAAATGAACATATTCAAGGGTAACTATTCAGGCTCTATCAAATCTACACAAGCACTTTGAAAGTGGCTTCCACAATTTGACTCTCTTCCACTCATGCATCCTAGATAGATCCACATATAAAAGATTCCTCACCAGCACCTACGCTCATTCCACTGTTTTATGACATACTGGCTTAAGAATACCATATATATGCTTAGGATGTGGCTGTGAAGATAACAAAAGAGTCAGACCTTTATGGAATTTTCATTACCAATTAGCACACTCTCATCTTTTCTAAGGCTGAGGATGGCTCAACACTGTATAGCACGAAGTTCAACCTACTCAAACTAAAGCCACACATCCACCAAAACTGCTTCCTTAATCTCTCAACAAATATTTCCAGACTTCCATGCAAATAGACATGGTCACATGGCTGATTTCTAATCAATGAAAATAATATAAAACATCTGTAGGCCTAATGCTACCATCAATCCTTGTTTTAATCCCGCATCAGCCAAGGACAAAAACTAAGCCTCTTCTTCCCGTGAAGCCTTCTGGAACCCTCATTTCTCAGGAATGTCCCCTTCACCATATATTCTGTTTTATCATTTATTCTTCTGTATTTTGGGCACATATAATTTTGGGTGCAAATATAAAACTATATAAATATAAAAAAATATAAAAACTGTCTCACAAGGTGACATAGTTTTGATTCCATGTAAGATTTTCTTGGGGTCAGTTATCAATTCTGTGCTCCTGATATCCTAGAATCCCATTAAAATTTTGTTCAGTGAGAGGTAGAGCCTTCACACACATGAGCTCCAGATTCTGGCTGTGTTCTTCTAGAGACTGCTTACTGTGGGATGCTAATGAATGAACTGGTAGAGCCGAGAGTGGTCTGTGTCCACTTACCTTTGAACCTCCTTGGGTTTGTATAGTCTCACTTGGCTGACTGCTCTTATTAGCTACTAACTAAATGCCTGTGGATGCTGATATAGCCAAGGTCAATATTCAAACTCAAGATGTAGAGCTGTTGACACAATTCCTTCCAAGCAACTGAAAGTATGGTGTTGTAATCTAGTCAAGAAGGACAGGAGTCCCTCTGTGTTCTGACCCTCACCATCTGTCTTTCTGTGAGAGGGGCAAGCTTGTTCTCTGCAGACAGCCATTTGTTAAATAGTCAAGCACTTCTCTGACAGAAGTCACTTTTAAACAAGGACCTGAAACCTACCTTAGTTCTATTTTTTATGCTTTTATACTTGGCTTAGATGTTTTGTGTCAAGAACACAATCCCTTTGGGTCAAAGTTTACCCTGCAGCAACAATTTTGCTGCATAATAAAAATCTGTCTTCCTGAATAGGATGATGAATGCAAGATGATAAAAACCACAGCCATGTGCATGGGGGATGCCTCTGCAACCCCGAAGGATCCGTAGAGAATTGGAGGCTGGAACCTATCCTGTAACATGTGACATGGCATTGTTCCCTTGTTCAGGATGTAGAGCCTGGCTGCCTGACTAGAAGCTGTGAGCAGAGTTGCTAAACAACTTTTTAAAATCTCCCCAGGATGTGGTATACTGTAGTTGACTCATTGCTAAATTGTCGCAATGAATCAGCAACACTCTCCTACAATCTAAGAGATTTTTCCCTATGCCCAGTTCTTTGAAAAGAATAGGTTTGACATTAAAATGGTGGGAAGAGGGAAGAGAGCACCTGAGAGGCTGGTAAAGAAGTAGATCTTGAATGGAAAGGTTCATGTGTGGTCCCTAAATCTTACATCATCACAGTCAGTGGCTCAAAGCCGATTAGTGAACAAAGCAATTGTCCTGAGTTATAAACAGGATTGAAACACTGTACAGAAAGAAATGGATTTTCTTAGCCATGCTTCTCTTTGCTCTAGAACTTAA